TGTCTCGCATGGTGAGATGTAGATTACACTGGACGATGTCTCATCTTTGTTGCATCTACCGATCAGAGGGAGATTCCTCCATCATAGTAGGATGACCAAAGACGAAGTAGTCGATATGATGGTGGAGCATTTGGGGGCTGATCCAAGGAAGGTGCTCAAAGAGCTGGTAGATAAGACCAGGGGTGCTCATGTTAGATTTTTGTTCTTGAAGGCAAGATTTGATGTGGCGCTCGTTGCTGCAGAGCAGGTTAATGGTGATGCTTAGGAGGTGGCCAGATACACGACTCATGCTTTGAGGACATGTTTTCTATTTTTAGTTGACACTGTGATTTTTATGGACACAAGTGCCACCTACAATGACGTTGCATACCTCCAGTACTTCTTGGATCTCACATGGACCCACGAGTGCAATTGGGGGGCGGCTTGCCTTGCATATATGTATTGGAGGCTGAAAGATGGATGTTAGTGGAGGACGGAGCAGGTCACAGGCAGCATAATACTACTGGTGATAATAATTTTTTATCCTTGAATGTTTTTTATCTTTATCATTTCATATTTGCGATAATTCTTGATCTTTGAATGCATTTTATTTTCATTTTAGGCTTGGATCCTCCAGCACTTCCCGCGCATCTCTGGCTGGTCGTGTTGGGATGACTACACTGAGAAAATACCCAGTGCTTGTTGTAACAACCCAATTTTCATTAATTAATTATTTATGTTAATTAATTGATTTATTGAAATTATTGGATGATTATTTAAAGTAATTGGTAGATATTTTGAGAGAAGAAATATATTGGAGAGAAATAGAAGAGAAAGATATATAAGGAAAAGTGGAAGGAAAAGGAAATGATGGTAACATAAGAGAAAGAGAAGAGAAAGAAAAAGGAAGAGGGAAAAAGAGAAGGAAAAGAAGGAAAAGATTGGAAAGCTCAAGAATAACTCCTAACTTTCGATTTAATCAACATAAGGGTGTGAAATATCATTATCTTATCAATGTTTATGATTATGTATGTGTGTGTTTGGATTTGTTGGAGGTTTTCCCATCTTTTCCCATTCTAGGGCAGAAATGGATTTAATCGATAAAGTCGATGTTTGAACGGATTAAATTTGGAATAAATGGTGTAGATTAGTCGAGGATTGTTAGGCTAAGACTACTGGAATTCGTTGGAATTGAATCGGTTGATTTTGTGATGATTTGATGAGTTTTGGACAGTTGGGGTTTTGAACATCACAGACGTTCGCTAGCACCTTCACTAGGCGAGCAGGTCGCGAGTGTTCGCTGTAGCGAGCTAGTAGCGAATGGTCCCAAACTTGGACAGAATGTAATTGACCCTCTTCGCTAGTAGCGAGCGAGGTAGCGAGGGGTTCGCTAAGCGAAGCCCCAGCGAGTAGGTAGCGAAGCCTTACAGTAGCTTCTGTTTGCCTTCGCGAGCTTGTTCGCTAGGCAAACAGGTAGCGAGTGTTTGCTAGTAACTCGCTAGGCGAGCAAGCCAGCGAGCGTGACAACATTCTCATTTCTTTGTGATTCCATCCAATGTTGATTGTTTGGTTCGATTTTGTTTAATCTTGATCTGAAATGAGTAATTGTGTGTTGTTATATATATGTTGTGGGTAGCCGTATGGCGTGAATCCTAGATTGTGGAATCGATTGTGGAATGTGGTTTCTTTGACAAATATGTGCATTGTTTGAATTGATTAAAATGCATGATGATTTGTGATGAAGTTTGTTGCTGTTTGGCACGATGATGTGAATGCATATTGATTGTATGCGATTGTATGTGAAGAATGCATGAGAACATATTGTGAATATGTGTGCATTGTTTGATAAATATGGTGATGGTATTGGATTGTGAATGCATATTGATTGAATGCAATATTGTGAATAATGCATGAGAACATATTGTGAATATGTGTGCATTGCTTGATAAATATGGTGATGGTGTTGAAAGTATGGATACTTTGATTAATATGGAATATGTGTTGTGTGTGCAATCATGATATAATTCTTGTGTGATGAATTATTTAAGTATGCATGAGATTAAGATGCGAGAATGGTCTTAAGTGCATATGATTGTTTTATGAAAATATGTGTATGTGCAAAACTCATACTCACTGGTGTAGAATAACAAGATGTTGTTCCTAGTGGAGTAATCACTGGGGTAGAATAACAAGATGTTGTTCCTAGTGGAGTAATCACTGGGGTAGAATAACAAGATGTTGTTCCTAGTGAGGTATAGTGACATGGTCGTATACACTGGGGTAGAATGACTAAGATGTCGTTCCTAGTGGAATAATCACCGGGGTATAATAACTGAGATGTTGTTCCTGGTGGGGTATAAACAATGTACCCATAATCCCAAGTAGGGATTGGTGAGAACTGATGAGTTTTATATGAGTCACATGGCAGAGATATCATTGTTATATGAAAGTATGCTTGTGTGTGAATTGTTGAATTGAGAACTTTGAATATAAGCATGATAAATATGCTTGGTGTTATATATATATATATATATATATATATATATATATATATATATATATATATATATATATATATATATATATATATATATATATATATATATATATATATATATATATATATATATATATATATATATATATATATATATATATATATATATATATATATATATATATATATATATATATATATATATATATATATATATATATATATATATATATATATATATATATATGTGTGTGTGTGTGTGTGTGTGTGTGTGTGTGTGTGTGTGTGTGTGTGTGTGTGTGTGTGTGTGTGTGTGTGTGTGTGTGTATGCGCGCGCGTGCGTGTGTGTGTGTGTGTATATATACTTTATGATGAATTGTGATGAATAAACATAATTGTAAATGTTTATGTGCAATGATGTGAATTGTGAATGTGTAATTGTGAATGATATTGACTGAGGAATTAATGAATAAACATGATCGTATATGTTTATATGTTTATGCGTATTCTAAAATTATAGATATATATAATTATATGCATTGATTATTATGATAATATTTCTCACCCTTCTGCTGGAATGATGTCCTATCTGGCATCGTGCAGGTATCAAGAGTAGAGCTGCTTGTAGTTGCGAAGTCGCTATTGGTGTTGCTGTTTAGTAATTTAATTATGTTGGGTCGATTCATGCTCTGGTCATGTAACACTGGGATCACTTGGTTTATATTTTGAAATACATTATGTACTTTACGTTGTGTTTTTATATTCATTGGAATATTATGATGTTGGCCCTGGATGCCTAAGTAATGTTGAATTATGTGATGATCATGAATGTTTTGTTAAGAGAATTATGAATATAAATTGAATCCGCTGCTACATGCAAAGTGAAATCTTGAAAAACATAATTATTCATTAAAGTGTTAATGAGCATGACAGGTGGGTTTTGATGTTTGAAAAATGCCCTTTTGTGAATGCATGATTATTTACTCTGATGATTCATATATTTTTCGTGGGGTTTAGAAGGGTGTTACACTTGTGCTTTTATTCCGCTGAGAGGAAACCATGCGGCCGAACCTTTCAGTGTCTATCTTGACCGCCTGACTGCTGAGGAAATCCACTTTAACTACCACGTGGATCACCGTCAGATGCGGTCATTTGACGACATATCACTATACTCCAGATGGCTGACCTGTAAATCGAGTATCATTGCTCCTCATCTGCCTAAGCGCGTCATATGACAGTTCAGGTACACCCTGACCATCCCCAGATACTCTGTTATCTCTGCTCCTCTTGTCTTGACTTAAATACAAATAAAGGAGTTGTTTGCTTATTATCATAGCCATCTGGTACTATAGGAGGGTCGGGCTACCATAATGCTGAATAATTAGAGCTACGTCGACAAATACATCAGGTAGTTCTTTAGGGTCTCACATTCGTACATGATGCCGACTGCTCATTAGGAGATTCTGGAGGAGAAGCATGCTCATCTGGATCATATTGAGGATGCCTTGCCTCGTTATCGTCGCATAGTGAAGATGGCACGGGCATGCATTGACAATGGTATCTTTTCTGAGGGGTCTGCTGTCAGACGAGTATTGGATGACATTATTGCGGAGGTACATGAGGCGCTTTTGTACCACAAACATCGCGCGAGGATATAAGGGATTGATGGCCGAGGAAGCATACTAGACAGAGAAGGCAAATAAGAGGTTGTCAGACACACCCAACAATTATTTGTATTTATTTTGTTTTAGTACTACAATTTGTACATTTTTCTTGACATTGTTACTATATTTTGAATTTACGCAACTTATGACATCTTATTACTATATTGTTATGTTATTTTATAATTCATATCTGAACAAATACACAATGCGTTTTTAAAAAAAAATTATTTTGAAATACTTCGGAGATGTATTTCTGAAAAATTCCCGTAGATGCATCTCCGAAAAAAATCAAATAGAAATAAACTATGGAAGATATGATGTAATCATTTAAGATTTAAATTGTTCAGAAGATATATCTCCGAAATATTATTAAGCCATAAAACATTTTTGAAGATATATCTTTAAAATTTAAGGGCATTTGTGAAAAACCACACATTAAAAAAGACAACAATGAAATAATTTTTTTTTTTTGAAATAACACATATTTTTAAATAAAATACTAAAATAATTGAGTTTTTAAAAAAATTACTAAACTAACTTACTTTTAACATGCATGCGTCATATGATATGACGACAATATTAAAAATACAAATAAATTGAGCTGATACTTATTTAAAAATATGTGTTATTTTAAAAAAAAAATCACTAAGAGATGCCATGAGAAATTTTCAAAATAAAAATGAGAGATATTGCAAGGAACGGGCCCAATTGAATTTATTTTGAAGAGGCTAAGCTAATATTATTAACTAACGGAAAAAAAAAACACATTTTTATTTTAGCGTAAAACCCTAAGCCGAAGGGTTTCTCGCCGTCTTCTCTTTGACATCACAGCACAAACTGCGAACACTCTTTTGGCTGCAATGTTGGAAATCAAAACCGCCAAGACACGACGGGGCAAAAAGGAACTCGAGAAACGCGCTCCCAAACTCGTAAGCTTCATCACTTCCTCTTTTGAATCCGTATTTTGTTTGTTTTCCGTTCATTTTTTCGACGATGATTGAGTTTGGTGTGTTTGATTACAGATTGAATCTGGGAAGAAGACCTTGATTCTTCATGGAACGAAAACTAGCGCGGTTTTGAATGCTGTGTTGACGCAGATTTATCACCTCAAGAAGGAAAGTGCTGTCAAGTATAGCCGGAAGAATGATAATATTAATCCTTTTGAAGCTGGTGGTGAGACCTCTTTGGAGTTTTTCTCCCTCAAAACTGATTGCAGTCTCTTTCTGGTAATTTCTCATTCTTCATTTATTTGGGGCCTTTTTGTAGCAGCGTAAGCAAAATGTTAAATAAGCGCTAAAAATCAGTTATGAAAATCTAAAACCCGTTACAAAATTGGTTATGGATATAACCAGTTTTGTGAAATTAATACTGAAGATTGGTTTTAATAGTGGATTATAACAAATGAATTATAAATGATTGTGGATTGGTTATGTGGTTTAACTATCTATGTGCAAACTTAATTGATAGATGTTAGCATCTTGAAAATAATCTTATAAGATGTTGTTAGCAGCTTTGTTGGATTTAAAACTTGGTGGAGCCATGTTTGATTATGTTCATTGATTAGTGGCAGTGCGACCGCCGTGAGTACATTTTCTGTTTCGGAAGTACACTGATTCCTTCCCCTTTAAGTAGATAGATGGAATGAGGGAACAACTAATGAGATATGGGGTGGGTCTTACCAATAGGTGTTTGTACAATTTGTAGCTTCTGCTTCCTATACTATTAAAAGAAGCTGCTTGCTTCGTTTACTATATTCACGGTTTCATGTTCTATTTTTCGGTTTCATATGCACCTTCTGCGTTTTGAGTTTTGCCTTTTAAAATCTTCATCTTGCTATCTTCATCATCTAAAATTTCATAGACTGAAACCTTTGTATTCTGGTTTGTTGTTTTTTGTTTTTCATCTTTGCCTTTTTAATATTGTCTTTTGTAAGCATGCGATAATACAAAATATGATAGCTTGTTTTCAAAGGTTGCTTTTAAGAAGTGGTCAGAGACTCTGTAAAATAAACAGGATAATAAGACACGCTACTATTGTAAGCACGCGATAATATTTGCTGCGAAACTGATTTAGTTATGATGGTAGATCAGGGGTAGCTTCATTTGTAGTTAGATTGTGCTACTACTGCCCTAAAGTTGTTATGCAAGATCTTTTGTTTCCGACTATTATAAATGTGTGACAACAGTTTATGATCTATCCCTCTTTAAATTAATTGCGTTCTTTATTTCACACATAGTAATGGTTTATGATGTGTGTATATTGCAGTATGGATCTCACTCGAAGAAGCGACCTAATAATCTTGTCATCGGGAGAACATATGATCACCATGTCTATGATTTGGTAGAAGTTGGGATTGAAAATTTTAAAGGCATGGAGTCATTTACCTACGATAAAAAATTAGCTCCAAAGGAAGGGACAAAGCCTTTTATGGCTTTCATTGGAGAAGGATTTGAGACTATGATACAACTCAAACACTTGAAGGAAGTTTTAGTCGATCTTTTTCGCGGAGAGGTGCGTCTTTGCTTTTCTTTCTATTTCATATTATTTTATTGGTAGCTGGAATATGTTAAAAGAAGTGATAAACGTGATTCATGCAGGTCGTGGAGAATTTAAATCTTGCCGGAGTGGACCGTGCCTATATATGTACTGCCCTGTCTCCAACTAAGGTGTTCTTCACACACTGTGCACTGCGGTTGAAAAAATCAGGCACAGTTGTCCCAAGAATGGAATTGGTAGAAGTTGGTCCCTCCATGGATATGGTTATTCGCCGGCATCGTCCTCCTAATGAAAGTGTGAGGAAGGAAGCCATGAGAACTTCAAGGGACAAGCCAAAGAAAAAGGTTTACAAAATCTCTAAATCTTTCAAATTTATTAGTTAATGTAAAGTAAAGTTCCATGTCTAAATTGTGTACTCTCTCTGTTGCTCATAGGAGAAGAATGTTAAAAAGGATCCACTAGAAGGAAAGATTGGAAATGTTTATATTCCAGATCAGAAGGTAAGAGTGACTATTTTCATTCTTCGCATCCACTATTTGAGTTAGTTCACTCTCTGAGTTTTGATTATGCTAATGATAACAATTTATAATTGTTTAGATTGGAGAAATGGCTTTGCCCAATAAGTCTAAAGGAGTGAAGAGGGAGCGCCGAGAAGCCAAGCGGAAAAGTGGGAGTGATGAACATGCGTCCAAAAAGAAGAAGGAAGATTCATAAAATATTATAAATTACACTTGTTGTCTTTTATTTATGAAATGATCCATTGTAGAATCAAATTATATTAAGATCGCATGTTGTTTAGGTGACATGAATATTCTTCATTTCACCTATAGAGGGAGGAGGGAGTTTTGTTGCCATTTATTTGTAAGCATATTTTTTTCCTTAAAATTTTGCGAGGGTTAAATTGCTTGTATGTTCACAGATGGATACAGTTTCTGATCAGGGTTAGATCCTAACATTTTCTAGCTTGCACTGACTATTTCCTGTTGATTTCTGTAATACTTGGAATGAGTCATTAGAAAAATTATTTATGTTTGCAAAATTTCTCAGTAATATTGCATTTACTGCCTTTTAACAGCTGCTTCATTAAGTTGAACAATTTCCCAATTGAGTTTGAAATATGTTTTTGTGCTAATATTAAAATGCCAAATGTTTTTCTTGACTGCAAATTTTCTTGAGGTAGATTGCTTTGAAATGCTATGCTTTTAATAACATTGTTTAAAAGCCTGCATTTCAACACTATTTGAAATCTGTTTAATTTGTCTTAACAACACAGACAATTGTTTTTGCTGGTCTCTAATTGGGTGGGTTACTGAAGATGACTGGGCGTGTTACTGAATATGACAAATATGAGAAATACAAGAAAGGAAAAAAGGTGACATAGATTCATTTTTGGTTTGTTTGATCTTCATCGATTTCACAAGTTCATTTAAAATGGCAACCGGATAGAAGCATAGAACAATAGTATCTTTATAATTTGCGCCACAACTAGAATTTCAAAAGTATTCAATAATTTTAGGCAAAACAGCAACACTTTTTTCCGGTGTGCTTGATGACAACAGTAGTAAATCACCAATACTTTCGGGATCATTGAGATTGTTGCTGAAATTGGTGCTGCAATTATCCAACTTTCAGGTTTTTTTTTTAAACTTTGGAATCCGAACTTTGAGGTTGTTTTGGCCTTGTGGACGGGCTGTTTTTGGCATGTGCCTGCTGAGATTGTAGTTGATTATGCTGGGAGGCAGTGTTAATGTTGGGCGGTAGTGAGAAATGGCTTATCAGCATTTGTCTTTTTCTGCTGTTCTATGTTGTTAGTTTTTGCAGTAGCTTTAGGTGGTGCAGGGTGCGAGCTATTGTAAAATGGTTCTGATTATTTTTCTCATCATGGTCTGCATATGTGTTCATCTCATCGTGGTCTGCATAGGTGTTCTTCTATTGAACTGTTGCGTTTCGGTGCGGTGTTTTCTTGTTGGCTTGGTGTGTCGGGCTGCTGTTATTTGATTACTCCCTACACCTTTGTTTTGCTTACTGGTGCTAGTGGATCAGCTTTGGACGAATCTTGATTAATTGTTGAGTTTGGCTGGTTGTGGTGTTAGTCATTCTCTTGAATTGGAAGAGTTCTGCATTTTTGTTTTTCCTGTTTGCAGTGATTTTGCTTTGGCCTTGTGTGGAGCTTATGCTTTGACCTACTGTTTGTGTTAGTTTTATGTCTTCCTTATTGACTTTATTTTACTTTCCCTAGGTTGAGTTTATCCGGTCCATTAAACCCGATCCACTAAACCAACTAAACCCGATCCACTAAACCAACTAATCTGGTTTGGAGGTTGTACATTATTTTAAACTTAAAAAACTTAAAATTAAGAAGCATACAATAAAAAAAGTGAATAGAGAGACACAACACACCCCTTTCGCTCAAGCAAAAAAAAGTGGATAGTGAGACAGTACATCCCCATCAGGTGAATTGAATGGAAGTTGCCAATACTTAAATTAAAGGATTATAATTTACAAGACAAGCATATCAAAAGAATAACAAATTTGAAATAAGAAAAGAATGAAATCTTATAAATATGGTTTATAAACCAAAGTTATTCAATAACATGACCTCTAGAAACTATAACTGCTAAAAGGCAACAAATGCATAGCAGCTTCAGTGTAAAATCACATTGACACTGCAATTTTTTGTCTAATAATCTTTTGGTATCTCATCAATAGGAGATTCATCATCTGGCCATTTATCAATACCCAAACTTCCAAAACCAATATCCCACATATCTGTCTCTGACATCTCACCTGTAATAACTCCAAAATTCATAGGATTTCCCCACATCTCATTCCCACAGCTTGGACCCCATATGTCTTCTTGCTTGATAATACTTTCTGTCCCAAGAGGTTGAAACTCTTGAAACCCTTCAAAATTCTCAGTTATAGCTTCTTCATTTGGACTAATAACATTCTTCCCTTTGAAAAATTGTTCATCGAGTCCAAAGCTAGACGATCCTTCACCAATAATGGTTTCTGAATTAGGTGACAAAATATCATGCATTGCAGCATATTCGTCTAAAGAAATATTCTCAATTTTAGAAGTAAAATCTTCTTCACCTGCACTCGTTTCTTTAGCTAAATCAAGTGAAAGATGGCGAGGAGCGTATTCTATGGAAACTGGACTTAGTTCTTCATTTTGATGTTGCTTAACAAACTTCCTTCTGACTCTTGGAGATTCTATATCTTTTTGTTCCTTTTTCTGCTTAAGCCGCGCTAGAAAGTCTGGATTTTGAAATAACTTGGCTAAGAAAGAAACCATTTGTTTTTGCCTTTGTTCAGCAGATTGAAGCCTTTGATTCACATTTCCTGCATGACGAGCCGTTTTTCGCTGTTGCTGCTGCAAATCAACCACTTCTTGCATTAACACACTCCTTTCCTTCTTCAATCTTTCTATCTCAACCTCGGCTCCAAATTTCCCTGCTATACAAAATATAGTTAGTTAGTTGCTAGTTTGTTATACAATATATACAAAAGTCTTGATGCGATTCGCAATACCTACCTGCATTAGAAGACGATCCAACATAGTTACCAACTTGTTGAGATTGAGACGGCCGGCGCCTTTGAATGTTCTTTAGTAAATGCTTCTTCCCTTTCTGGAAACCTTCATTGAAAAACTCCCATTTGTCGGTATCAATCTTTCGGAATCCCTGAACACAAACACCGAGTTATCTCTGAATGAATGGAGCATAGATACAATCATACAAGTAACATATATCAAATTAAGGAAAAACAAGATATTTACTTTAGCTATTATTATTACAGCAACACTAGCTATCAGCAGATAGATACAATACAACTAGCTAGCTGCATTGGAGAATGCAATATCTGTGAATCCAAAACAAAACAAGCTTATGATAAATTGTATCAACATCAAGATACAAAACAAAACACACCATTGAAACACAGAATACGCTACCTTTTGGAAGATGAAAATCCCTTGAAAGGGAGAGCAACAATGTCTCCAATGTTGCTAATTCCAGCAGTAGAACTCTCTGAATGCTATAACTACATAACGCAATTAATGAGAAGGAAACAAAACAAACATATCTCAAATCTGTGTGCTTATCTATTACACAGGACACACCAAAATATGCAAATTTTACATACAATACAATCAGCAAAAGAATTATTTACATCTCCATTTGATACATTCAATCAAAATATACAAAAAAAATCAACAAACACAAAGGGGAGAGGGAACTAGTTAGTTACAAATAGTTACAAATGAAAAAAAAGAAAAAGAAAAGTAGTTAGTTCGTTACATTTAGAGGGTGACAAAGCAATACAGTTACAAACAATACCCACATAAGTATTAAGCTGACGAACAAAACTGGAGAAATTGTTGTGTTTGAAATGTCGTGGCAAAATGATTCTAGCAAACTCCAAAGGGTCCCACACAACGAAGCTAGCACCATTACAACTCCATGATATAATCGGATTCAAACAAGGTTCATCCACTAAATCGAATGTTTTTGACAGAAATGGAGGAACAGTGTTGTTCATCAGCAAACATTCCATAGGCACAGGCACCGATGCATCAAGCTTGGGAGAGTTTTTCTCATCATTTGAATTCATGGTTGCAGAAAAAACGTTAGTTGTGAAGAAAGTGAAGTGGTGGAGATGAATATTAAAAGGGTGAAAGGGCGGTGGAAGGTGGTGAATGTGATAGTAGTAGTTTGATGGCGGTGGAAGAGAACTGGGGCCATGGTGATGTTGCAAGTTGCAAAGTGAAAATTGAAATATCATATGAGAAACGCCGACATTTATGTTGTTTCCTTGCAGTTACGTTGTTGTTTATTGGTTCTGTCGTTGTCACGTGTGTGATGGTGGGTTTAGATATTTTGGTGAAAAAGATACGGTTACTGTGTGTACTGTGTTGGGATTGGTTAGATTTTATAGTTGGTTTTTTGGACTGATATTTCAGTGATAGTGACAGTGAAAATGACAATGACGTGTATTTGCTGTCTTTTTGTTGTATTTGGTCAAATTGACTAATTAACATACTTAGAGGTTAAGTAAAATTAGTTATCCTACTTAATATATAAATATGTATGTAAGAACAAATATTTCTTTTATTGAAAAAATAGGGATATGCAAAATAAATTATTAACTGAAGTGGATTTAATTAATAATCAAAATACTTAGAAATTAAGTAAAATAAGTTACCCTACTTATATGAACTTAGAGGCTTACGTAAGGCACTTCACTAATGAAAATGAGTTATATCAAGTGTATCAATCCTAACTCGTATTCATTCTAATCAACAATTAAAAAAACTTTTTTTTAATCTAAAGGTTAATTCTCACTATTTTTTTTATTCATTTATACTTAAAATTTTTTTTTCTTTTAGTTTAAACTTTCACGAATGAAAATTTGCTCATAATGAAAGAATTCTGGAGTATTATTGAGATTAGCGTTGTTGTTGTCAACGTGCACTATAACAAATAATTTTTTTATGACGAAATTTTCACCGCAAATAATAAATAACTGAGATATAAAGTTAAGGCGCGCTATTTTTTATTATTTAAAAAATAAATTTTCTCGATTTTTCATAAAATCGAGGTGGAAAAACAAATAACTACAAGCTTCGATTCTTAGCTATCGCAATTTATGATTCTATTTGTTTATAAGTGTAAACAAAATGTTCTAACCCTTCGATTTTCTATTTAACTGAGACATAAAATAATAAGATTTTACTATAAAAACACTCGTTAAATATATTTTACCCTAATCCTTACTAATATGAAGTCGTCCTAAGTATCATTCTTTGGGATGGATTGCAAGACAAAAAAAATCTTCAGTATTCTTCTATCTTGAACAAAACATTTTTTCTGTCCTTTCAATCTATCTCACTTAATGATGTTGATGTTGTCGTTGTTGTATTTTTTGGAACAACCCTTAGTTAAAGAAGGGTACTCAGTTGATATATTGCAAGTGCAGAAAATCATTCTTGCTTCAAGTTAATCAAAGAATGGAGCTTAACCAACAAAGAAGAGAGCTCAACCTTTGAAAAGTGCTAAGTTGATAGATTGCAAGTGCAGAAAATTATTCTTGATTCAAGTTAAACAATGTATGAAGCTTAACCAGCAAAGAAGAGAGCTATCTCAACCTTTAAAGAGTACCCAGTTGATAAATTGGAAAGGTAGAAAATCATTCTTGTTTCAAAAAAATTTGTTTTAATGAGTATGCAACAAAATCTGGATATCACGGAAGATTTGTTGTAACCAATGTTTTTTAATATTCTGTGTAAACAATGCATTTTAAAAAAAAATAAAATAAAAGAAATAGTCACCTCGGTTTTCTCTAAAATCGAGATGATACTTAATATAAAACTTCGGTTTTGAAGTAAAACCGATGTGGCTAGTAATAATATTTTGCTATTAAAAAACTCGTTTAACCGATTTTACCCAAATACTAAATTATATGTAACCGACCCAAAGAGAGGAAATGTTCAACACTGTTTGTTTCTATCATGAGTTGCTACTACAGATCTCTGGAATGAGTGCAAGTGCAAAAAATAAAAAATATCATTGAAAAACAGATCTCTAGCATCTTACATGAAACATGAATATTGAAAATTTAATCTAAATGAAACATGAAGCACTTGAAACATAAAGACGTTTGGAAAGTTATCTAAGATGTATTACAAGAGCAGAAAATTACTTGGGTTTAAGGTTTGTTTTCTTAAACATTTATTGAACACAAAATCATATATTTGAATATTCATTTTATTTATCTAACTCTTATTTTGTTTTACTTCAGAATCAAATGCATGCAAGATCCGTAGAGAATAATCTTGCACCCAACATTTGATTTTTCTTAAGATTCAATAATTCGAAGATCTAAAATCTAAATCTTCAGGAAATTTGTTTTTTTTATCTAGATCTCTAGTGAATTTGATTTTTATTTTAATATTATGTGTAAACAATTTAATATTCTGAAAAAACAATATAATATTTTAAAAAATAATAATAATAATAATCTTACCCCTCGGTTTTCAAGATAAACCGAGATGAAAGATATGTTAGTTTTGAAAATCATAAAAGTGCTACTGATGAGGTTCGAACCCAAGTGCATTTAACTTTACTTCTTGATTTTAATACCACTGAGGTGATAAGTGGCGAGTTTTCATGTCGCCCTTCGTTTCCTCGCTTCTACAGCTGAGATATTATGCATTTTGTGTTCGAGGTAAAAAATGTTTTTTTTTGTAGTAGTGGTGGATGCAACCGCTAATCAATGCAAACTGGATGATGAAAGTAAGCTCAAATATTTTAAGGAGAATAACTTCTAGTTTAGAGCATTCAATCGCCCTATTTTGAACAGATTCTTGTTTGTGACATGAACACAAATATTTGAGACTTAGTGAATAATAAGTATTAAAGTTCAACTAAGGTTAAATGAGTTCAGAGGCACATATTTAAAGTTGTTTCGGTGAGGGGTATTGAATCAGTTGATGATTACTTTGCTCGAACCCTTGCAATTATGAACTATATGAAGGCTCAAGGTAAGAAGACGAATCAAGTTTTGAATTTTTTAACAGGTTCTTAGGTCCATGATTTTGAAGTTTAACTGTGTTGTGTGATTGATTGAGGAAGCAAAACGATTTAACCACCTTGTCCATTGATGATTTTCAAAGTATCTTAAAAGTTCAGGAGTAGTGTAAGAAGAGTCATAAGGAAGATGATTAAGCTCTCAAGATGACTAATGGTGGTCGTGGATTTATTCATGGTAAGGTTAACATTTCACATGGCTGTTGAAGGGGAAGGCGGAGCAAGGAGTTTGTGAAATGATACAAATGTCATAATCTAAGACATTATCAAATTAAAAGTCCCAATTCAAAGAAGAATGTCAACTATGCAGAGTTTGAAGACGATGAAGAAATGCTTCTTATGGCTCAAGAATGTGTTGTTATTGGTGCTAAAAAGGAAGTTTGGTTTCTTTACTCAGGATGTAGTAATCATATGGTGAGAAACACAAAATGGTTGTTTGATTTTGTGATCAATTTTGTGAATATGTCAAATTGGGTGATGAATAAACGATACCAATCATGGAAAAATATAATATGAAATTACACATTGGAGGAATTATGCATGTATTGTGTGAGGTGTATTATCTACCTTGTTTTAGGAACAATTTAGTAAGCATTGGCAAGCTTGAACCGAAGAATCTTACAATAATTTTCAAAAGGGATTCATACAAAGTGTTTCATGAAAAAAGAGGTTTCCCCATGTCTACTTAAATGTCATTAAATATAATATTTGTAATATTTTTTTAGTCATCATTTCTACTTGTATGAAAGTTGTTGAAGTAATATCAGTGGAAACCATAATCAACAAAAAAAAATGAAAATTGAAAAAAAAATTCATTAATTCCCCATATTGATACAGACTTTGGGCTCAATATTTATAACCCAAAGTAATATTGTTTGGATGGATAAATAAATGTTGAACTGGTCAAAAAATAGAATAGAGAATTTCTTAATGCACTCTAGATATTTCTTAGCCACCATGTAAAATTATTTAAATGTTTTTAATTTTTAGAGATGCATCTCCGGATGCACCTATTTCTGAATAAATGTTGAAATATTCCAGAGATACATCTCCGAAACAATTTTAAACATTCAATATAATCCAATCATAAGCCATTTAAATTTGAAATTTACCGGAGACGCATCTCCGATAATATTCCGGATATACATCTCTGAAATGTATCAAAACAGGTATTTAATGCTATAAGTTGTTTATCTGTGTTCAAATGAACTATAACATATGATCACAAATAAAAAAATAGGTGTACAAAATAAGAAGAGACTATTACTATGTGTGTCGAAAATAAAATAACAATATAAATAAAAAATATCGTACAATCAAGATCCAAAATGTAGTAAGTCCATTAAGAAGAGACTACTACTGTGTGTGTCTGGCAACATCTCCTTCACCTCCTCCACCTCCTCGGCCTTCAATCCCTATGTCCTCCAGCGATGTCTCCAGTACAACAATGCCCCTTGTGCCTTAGCCATGATGGCATCTAGGACTCTCCTGACACCAGACCCATCAGAGAAGATACCCTCGTCCATGCCAGCCCGCGCAATCTCCATTATGCGACGACACCTAGGCAAGACATCATCAGTATGATCTAGCTGAGCCTGTTCCTCCTCTAGTATCTCCTAATGAGATGGTCTCGGAGGATCTCCTGGAGAAGCATGCACCATGAACAAATGTGACACCCTAAAGAATCATACGATGTACCATTTGACGTAGCTCCAGCCGCCCGGGGCTATGGTAACCTGTGCCTCCTCTGATACCAAATGACTCTCATAATCATCAAACATCCCCTCTATCTGTCTACATGTCAAGGAAGAAGGAACAGGGACAACAGGGTGCCTGGAAATGGTCTGAGTGTATGCGAATTGCTGCATGACGTGCTCGAGCATATGAGGAGCTATGAGATGCGATCTGCATGCCAACCATCCAGAGTATAACACTATCTCATCAAATGGCATCGTCTAATGGTGATCAAAGTAGTTATTGAAGTGCATGTCCTTAGCAACCAAACAGTCAAGATAGACTCTGAAAGGCTCGACCGCCCGGTTCCCTCTAAGAGGGATAAAAGCAATAGCACATGACATATCCTTAGTGTACTCAAGCACACTCACCCAGCAAGCCATGCACGGGAAGTGCTGAAGTATCTAAGCCTAAAATAAAAAGTCTGGAACATACGGGTCATAAAAAATGGTTATGTAAATA